GAAAAATTCCTTTTTTCTTAGTCATTCCTTTTTCCTATATTCTTTTGTATCAACAACCACTATGAAACCCAGTAGTGGCAACAACCACTGGTAATTACAAACTTCTTTCAATCAATGTTTTCCAATGGCAAGCACAAAGCAACTTACCTCTTTTCTCAGTGGACCAGTTGCTCAGAACCCCTCATTTGTTTTTTTCTGAAACACTTCCTCCCTTTTGCTCTCCTTATAGGGTTACTAATTATCAAGCTTTATTAAACCATTTCTACTGTGTTACTATTCTCATTCAAACCTAGAGCTAAATAGCAGCTTTATGAGTAATAGCTTCCATATATTCTCTCACCAAAGTTCTGCCAAAAAAAACTCTTAAAGATTAAAGTGAATGTTGAAAGTTGATATTAAAGCATATTTCTACTTCCTGAAACACATTTAAATAAGAAAATGAATCCCTTAAAGTAATAAATTAATGTTTCCTTGCATTTGCTTCATAAAACATAGTTTGGAGATCACTGGAATAATTAAAGTCTTAATAATGCAAAAAAGTGCAGGAAAGTCTCAAAGTAAAAATCTCTTACTGCTTCTTTCAGGCCTTTGTACAATTCTCGTTTTCTTGTTCTGGATTCCGCTTTCATGAAGTGCTTTAAACCAGTCTCGCAATCTATTTGCAACTTCTCTAAATTCCAGATCACTGCACACTGAAAAACAAGCAAACAAACAAATGTAAGATTTTTATTACTTGTATTTCCTGTATAAGTGACACCTTTCAAATTATGTTAAAAAGTGAAAAAGAGAAAAAATATTCTGTTTTTCCTCCCAATAGGAGTTCATTCTTTCAGTACTTAATTGCAGCCTTAAAACATAACTTTAATTAGTATTGCTAATATAGAAATAATTTTCCAGTATATCTTTTATCTGTATGTTGTTGTTTGTCTAGAAGATACTAGAACACTTTATAAGCAATTCTAGCTACATATAACATACATATCCACACAGAAGCACTCCATTTACTGTGGAAATATACTATAAAAATACTATAAAAATCAACAAACAGTATTCCAAATGCATGATCTTGTTGGTCTCTACCTAATTACTACCTAAACTCAGAATTGCTTTACCTTCTAAAGTCTCACAACCCAAGGTAGCATAGCTTCAGGCTAAAGCTGATGTTCATTTGCTGCATATAAGCCTCTAGTTTTATTTGCATTTGGCACATGCTGTTGTAATGCATGAGACTTACTGGTAATATGTTGTGTACATTTTATTTATCTGAATGGCAGCTTGGAACTTGTTCTTTTGCTTTTAAAGTAAAACTGAAGCAGATCAGTGTGTCAGCAAAGGAAAAGCCCTAATACAACTGCCAGTATTTGTATATTTGCTGTTTATTCATTCTTTGCTCAGAGCATGGCTCTTGAAACTTTGATACTTCTTGTCAATAATGTCTATATGGAATTTGTGCACACATTTGTATACACCAGAAAACAACCACTTGAGTTTCTTCTAAAACCATGTTTTGTGCTCTTTTCCTGTGAACCTTACACAGACTTATAATTCTTCCTCCCATGTAATTTAGTACACAAATGGAATCAATACCAGTATTGGTCTGTTGCTGATTAAGCTCAAAGACATCAGACACTAATAACAGGTTGAAAGTGCCCTACTAACTTGGATAAATTAAATACATTGGATATTGTTAGTTAAGATTGCAACATGATGGCACTTTGCTTTTACCAATCCTAGAGCTGGCAATAATCTTATCTGAGGAGCTAGGCATCTATTGGACAGAAAATCCAGGTACTTTATTTGTGCTGTGTGACTAGACAAATACCATGGAGTGTTTCTTTTCCACCACTGGCTTGGGTGTGGATCAGAGAAAGACTGAGAGATTAGGAATCAAAGTGTTTCTCTGGTGGAAAATGCCATCTGTCATCAAGTATTGGGGATGAAGATGTTACTCTTTTATAGCTCTTGTTCTTTTTAATTTGGTTAGGTATCTAGATAACATGGACTCCCTTCATTCCTTTGAATCTCTCGTATAGTCAGTATTTTGAAAGCCTATACCTTCTTTCATTTTTAAACAAGGTCTTATATAAAAATTAAGGGTCAACTTTCATCAATATGGCATCAACAATGATTGTGGTGGGTATGGTCAGGCATAACAGTTATACCAGTATTAAGGTATACTGGTATAAGCTGTTCTGATATAATTTTCACCTTCTGTGCAGTAGAAGTAAAGCTTAGCCTTCTATCTGTTTTATTTAGGTTTAAAGTTACAGAAACTTTGTTCGTTTATATTGGTATAGGAGAGTATAGATGTGAAAATTAAATAAGAGCTGATACATGCTCCCGAGTGGCAAGTTTCCCCTCTCCTTTTGAAGTTATATCTATCCACAGGCAGCAACTCCAAAATGAATTTAAGCTACATGGATTCCAAGGGTACGTTCCAAGCCAGAAAAACACTCACATGGAACATGAATGAACAAATTCTCTGCCATCATAGATGCAGAACCTTAAGCACTGGGGAAGGAAGACAATGATGACATCTACCATCCACACTAGATCATCTCATGTCAGTGGGGCTTTTATTCTTTTAAAGTTTTGTTGGTGGCCATTGTTGGAGGCAGTATGACATAGTGTGATAGCTCCTGAATAATATGATGTGATGAGCTCCATTTTAAAGATCGTTTTCAGGGGCCTGGTTTCTGATCTTGAATTAAGGCAAATGCCTCAAAGTTTACAGAATATAAAATAACTGAACTTTTTCCCAAACTTTGTTGTTTCATATTTACACTTTAAATGATAATTTGATTCCAAAACAGAGAAGAGAATGAGAAAATTATCATTTTTAGCTGTCGCTAATTTTAATGATTTGGATTACTTTAGGATGGGAATAGATCATCATCTTAAAAAATCAAGGCAATGCAAAACAACCTGATTACAAACTGTCAATTGCCTTTTTTATGCCCCATAGCTACTCAAGTGGTTGAGTCAGCTCTTAAGTATCGCAGGTAATTACATTTACAGTATTATCAATTTAAATGCACAGTGCATATTTGGTTTGTGACACTTCTGATATGTCAAGTAAAAGCAGATGTCTTTTATATGTGAAATTTACAAGATAGATACAGCAGATCTTCACTAATGCACACTGTTAATAATTTAAATTGTGGTCTCCATTTCCCAGCAAAGATTCAAAACACAGAACTATAAAGAAATCCTGCATTTCAATACTAAACTTCGGTATTTTTACCAAGTAATGTACCATTCATTTATGAGCACATTAGCAAGTAATTTAAATAATAGAAATTGTTAGCAAATCAAATTTTTCACAAAATTTTGATGGTCTACCAGGTGCTTCAAAATGATTTGAAATATATTTTTCATGGTAATTTTGTTTCTGGAAATAAAAATATATTTTTTCATTTTTAGATTTTGCAGGGATCCTCTCCTTTTTTGCATGTTTTTTGGGGGACAATCAAATTTAAATTTTCAACTCAAACTGGAAGGAGTCAAAAGGAGAGCAACAAAAATTACCAGAGGTCTACAAAACATGACATATAAGGAAGGACTAGTTGAGTACTGGAATTATTTAGTTTGGAGAAGAAAAGACGGAGGAGGTATTTAATAATATTCTTCAAATACAAAATAGGTTGTTAGTAAAAGGATGGCAAAGAACTCTTTTCTTTGAAAAGAGAAAACAGAAACTGTAACAAAGGAGATCTATTTTGGATATTAGGATGAGCTTCCTACATGAGGGTGGATCAAGTGCTAGAAAATATTACCTAGAGAGTTTATAGATTCTTTGTCATTGGGAAGGTGTGGAATTGTTTATACAGATCCCATGCAGAAAAGGGGGCTGAGTTAGATGATATGGAGTTCATCTAACTCCCTGAGATCTTGAGGTCCCTTCCCAATCTATTTTTCTATGATTCTAGGATTTTCCTATTGCTGAAAATAAAGCAGGAGAAGAAAGTAAATCCAGATATGGACATATGGTGTATTATAAAAAACGCACCAAAAAGGAGTTCATTTCAGAAAATCTCTTTATTTTCTGTGTTTTTGTAAATGACAAAAAACGACATAATGATAAACTCCTTATCTAGTATGTGTCACTATCCATCAATTTGAGTAATTATTCCCGAATATGGTACTTACCTGAACATTCTAATGCATTATATTGTTCTGTTCATTTTGGCAGTATAACACAACATAAAGAAACAAGTAATTAAAATAATGAATACATTTTGATTACTGGGGAAAAAAGACCAATAATATTTTAATTAAAACAAATAAAATTGGATGAATGCGCTTACTGGAACACAACATATTTCATTATAAAAACTGAAATGTAACGAAGTCATTTATAAGTACATAGAGATGAAGAAAATAAGATTAAAAATATTTTGTATGCATGTAGGATTCTTCTATCTAATTTTCGCCCTTTAGAAGGACTGACTTCCTTGAAGGAGGGAAGAGATTGTACTATTTACTTTAGGGACACAGTTCATAGATTTCATAGACATTAGGGCTGGAAGGGACCTCGGAAGATCATCGAGTCCAGCCCCCTACCCAAAGGGCAGGAAGTCAGCCGGGTTCATAGGATCCCAGCAAGATGAGCATCCAGTTTGCTCTTGAAGGTGTTCAATGTAGGCGCTTGAACTACCTCAGGTGGCAGGCTGTTCCAGACCTTGGGGGCTCGGACAGTAAAGAAATTCTTCCTTATGTCCAGCCTGAAACGGTCTTGTAGTAGTTTATGACCATTCGACCTAGTCGTCATCCCTTGGGGTGCTCTGGTGAACAAACGTTCCCCCAGATACTGGTGGTCACCCCTGATAAACTTATAGGTGGCCATCAGATCACCCCTAAGCCTGCGCTTTTCCAGGCTAAAGAGTCCCAGGGCTCTCAGCCTGTCATCGTAGGGTCTGTTTCCCTGACCTCTGATCATGCGCGTGGCTCTTCTCTGGACACTCTCAAGCTTCTCCACATCCTTTTGAATTGTGGAGCCCAAAACTGGACACAGTACTCCAGCTGCGGCCTCACTAAGGCCAAGTACAGGGGGAGAATGACGTCCCGGGATTTGCTTGAGAAGCATCTATGGATGCAAGCCAGCGTTTTGGTCGCTTTACTAGCAGCAGCATCGCAC